TAGGGTTTTCATTGAAAATATGCACACATTGATTCCTAGCATTCTCATCCAAACGTCACTCTGAGGATCATTTCTCACTTCTCTGCCTGGACCTCTTTCACTAATCATAAACTCCCAACAGTTTCTTCCATTCCTGAGCTATATTTGATATTAATGAACCCCTGAATGTCCCAAGTGCCACTTGCACTATCCCTGAGTCCCTTTGCAGACAGGATTATATAAGGAACATGGATCATAACATCTCATTCTAACTCTCCAACAGATTGAGACACTGGCTTTCAGATTCCTCATGGAGAAGAACTGTGAGGTGGAGGAACAGGCAGAACAAGTCACTGTTCTCAGCTGCACTTCCAAATGACAGTCTCCAGAGACCACATGTGCCAAATGTCTCCATGTTTCTCATTACTTAGATACTTATTCAACTGAATAGCCTTCCAAGAAGTACTGATACCTGTGGCAACCATGTATTCCAATCACTGTAGGAAAAGGTCTTAGGTCACGGTGGGTCAGTGCTCTGCACCAGGCTGTGATTGCAGCAGACAGTACAGAGGCAGGGGAAGACTATGAGTTGGAGTCAATGACCAATGGTTAATCTGTGACCCTACCACTCAGGTTTCATGGATCCAAACTGAATTGATACATTCATTTTGTTTATAGTAATTCAACATTGATTATGGTCATCTTCTGAGAATTAGATAATGATTTCTGAGGTGATCAAACACTTCTCCTCCAAGATATTATAGACACATGCTCACATTGACATCAGCATGGAAATATATGGATCAACATTACTAATTTAAAACTTCCTACTCCCTGATTCTTGCATTCAGGGTGCCTCGGGACATTCCTGTGCGAAGAGAATTAATTCTTAGTCCTGTTTTTACTTTCATCAAAACATAACCACAATTTTGAGCAAGTCTTCAGGTTGCTCTTCAGCTTTGTCTTTCTTCAGAGTTTCTGACACACACTAGATGTGAGCTGTGGCTCTGTGCCTTGCACAGTAGTAGACGGCAGAGTCCTCAGATGTCAGGCTTCTGAGCTCCATGTAGGCTGTGTTCAACTGTGTATCTGCAGTCAGTGTGGCTCTGTCCTCAAAGGCCTGTCCTTAGTTTGTTCTACCAATGCTTGGGAGTATGTTTCAAATCCACGCAAGCCCGTGTCCAGGCTTCTGCCTCACCCAATTCATATAGGCAATGGGGAAGTCATTAGGGTCAGAATCCTTGCAGGTCACCTTTACTGCAGCTCCAGGAGCCCTCAGTTCAGAGGCAGACTGCTGCAGATGACCCTGATAATGGACTCCTGTGAAGGAGAAACAGAGTGGATGCCACTGTCACTTCACCGTCTCTCTCCCCCTCGGACCTAAGACAGGGGATCCACTTACCTATAGCTGCTGCCACCAGGTAGAGGATGATCCAGCTCCTGTCCATGCTGAAACCCTGCAACAGCCCAGGGCCAGACTCCTTCAGGGTAACCTGGGACAGGACATCTGTGGGGGAAAAGCAGAAGGTAAGGTTGGCACAGAGTGAATTATGGGAGTTCATGCAGTAGGAATCCATGGCACTCACATGCAGGCACAATCAGCAGCAGGAATGAGGAGGCAAACAGGGCCATGGCTGCACACCAGTGAATGCCCAGGCCCAGCTTTGCCTTTTCAACCTCTGCTTGGGTGGAGCCAGGAGTGATTTGCATTCCCTTACCAGGATCTGACTCTGATGGAGGACTTAAATTATGGTTCTCAGGGGGAGCTGGTGTGAGATGAGGCTCACAGGATGCCTCAGGGAAATTCACCTCTGTTCACTACAGACAGGAGCCAACATGAGAAGACCCAGGTCCTCAGCATTCAACACATCAGATGAGTCCTGTGTGAAGGCTGCAGTGCAGAGCATTGCCATCTGCAGGCTGGCAGTTATGCAGTCTGTAATTGCATGGAAGAGAGTTGTATTTCATTGACTTTACTAATCTGTCAATCTCCTGCCTCACATATTTGATATTTCTATTCATTCAACATGAGCAGCTTAATGTTTATACTGCTGTATATTTCTGAAAACTTTAAAAGCAGCATCAACAGAAAACATAACCTGTAGCAGAGACATGGTAAGTTATCTCAATTCTCTCAGATGCTGAGCATCCTGGAGAAAGGGAAGAAGGACAGAGAATGATGAAAGTCACAGCTCACAGGGCCCAGGGATTTCTTCACAGGTTCAGTGATGTTATAGAGCAATGTAATTTGCTTTTTTCTGTGACAACTGGTGTTTTAAGATTCAGAAAGAAAATGATTTGCTTCTCTTTGAACAAATTTCACAGTGGCATTGTGATGTGAACATGATTCAATACTTGGAAAGTAGCTTGAGTGAACTGCTGGTTTCTTTAAGGAAAGCTACATCAAAAATTACTCATTTTATGAAAACAACATTTTCTCAATTAAGTGTTTAGAAGATAAAGATACCAAGATGTTCTAAAGCATGAATATGAACTTACCAC